TATTGACGACACATTGACTGAATGTTATTTTATTCTAATTTATATTCTAGATATTTTATTTATTTTTCAACAGACGACAACTTCCTGTTTTTTCTTCTATATTAGTTACTCATATCTCTTTTACAGACTTTTTTACAAGGACATTGACAGATGATACTCACATTAGGCATTCATTATTGCATCTAAATTATTTCACTTGCATTAGGTTTAGAAATTTATTCTCTGGTTAACAGATTTCAAATGTTTAATTAATTTGTAGTATGACAGTAAGGTATATAAGAAGTTATTTAATTTTGCTTGGGCTGTTATATTGACTATTGAGATTTAATGATGATATGGAATTTGAATTCTATATAAATTTACACTATGTGGTTGGGGCATTTTGCATAGTAAATATGGTTACTACTCCTATATATCATATTATTTGATTGGTATTCGATTTCTGATTATTTCTCTAGGAATATGATTATTATATCTCAATTTGGCTTTAGGTAGGGTGCCCCGCTAAAAGAACTGGATTCTTCCAGGAAGCATCCCGTGCACAGACCTTGGTCTACATATATATTAAATTATTAACCATTCATTCTGTATGTGCACGAAAATTTATTTCAATCAATCAATTGTTAATTCTATGGGGTGCTATAAAATCAAGGTCTATCCACTCAATTCTGATTGCACATCAATTTTTTTTCCTGTCATCACTCCTGGAGTAATGGATATTATATGTTTATTTCAATGAATATAATAAGCAGTAAATTAGAATAGAATCTTGTCTTCTTTTCAGCTCACTCTTCTGAAACCTCTTCCTCTACATTCTCAACCTCATCATCAACTTCCTCATCTTCATCATCAACATCATCACCCCTGTCTTCATCGCTGGTGGTGTGTGCGAGATTTAGGTCCAGTTCGTCAACGGGTATTGCTTTCTCATAATACCGTCCTCTGTGTCCTCTCACTGCAATCAAAACTGTTTTGAGTAGCTCAAATCGCAAACGACGTCTAAGATTTGCCATGATGAGGCTTTTGTCCTGGCTGGTCTTGGCTGCCAGAAGTGTTGCCACTCGTTTAAGGAACATGGTAGCCTGTGGGCCCATACCTCCGGTGGTCGAGAATACAAGGCCATTGCAGGTTCCTTTTTCGATCTGTACACAGCGGTCTCCATATTTCCTTTCTTTCTCTCTTTCATGCTTATTGTACATCTTTGCTGGGGTGTTGTGATTAGCGTTGGATCTGGCTCCGGGGTGTAAAACCCTGATATCAAAAAATGCCAACTCCATTGGTGACCACAGACCTCTAGCTGCAATGTCAAGCCTTGCCCCATCATCCAGAATGGTACCAGGGCGAAGGCTTTCTCCAGTGCATGGCTGGAGTGTGGGCTCTACAACAACCTCATTACAGATTTTTTCAAGAATGCTTGCAATGGTGTCTCTCAGTCGGTTGTGTCTGCTGTTGACAAAACCTCCTTTCTTGCAAATGAGAATGTGGTTGTAGGTGTTATCTTTGCCACAAATGCATTTCTTGGCTATGTTGGCAATGGGTAGAGCGTATCTCAGTGCTATAGCGTCTTTGAACCCTTGCTTGTTCAAGACAAATTCGTACTTCTCATAAGGTAGTCCGGTCAGCCAGCTTGATGCACCTTTTTCACATGCATGTGGGATCTTCTCACTGATCAAAGGTGGTAGATCGTTCATCAGCTGGTTTTTGAGAGATTTGTGTCTCTTTGCATTTGACAGGCTAATGGCACTCTTGACCGCTTTCCCAGCCTTTCTGTTGGTATTGAGAGTGGTGTGTGCTTCATAATGTGTTCTGTAAGCTGCTGGTTAGCCATGAGTGAGTTCTTGTATTCTCAATTCGATGTATTATTGTCTGTACTCAGATGGCAATGAGACGGGTTACCTGGGGACCTCAGGCTATGTTCATAGAGATTAGGCGGAATGACAGGCTGAGCGCGGCCCAGTAATGAGACGGGCTGCAAGGTTCCTGCCATAGTTATATAATGCTATTGTTAGAAACCTACCAGGTACATGAATCTGTGTTGTCTCAGCCGAATGTTCGAAAAACCGAGGTTAAATGAGAAGGGGCCTGCCTAAAAAGATTAAGAAGATTGTTGGTGATGAAAGCAACTTAACATCTTCCCTGGATACCCCTTCAGTGCATCTACATAGTAGTTTACTGTAAATATACTTCCATAATCAAATCATAAATCAAATCAAAGAATAATGACACTAACATCATCACACCTCATCGTAAATATTTCTATAAAAATTTGACTAAAATTTTAGAGGGCGAGAACGAACTTTGTGGATATAGAGAGTCTAGATTTGAACAAGGTCAAGGGTGAATTTAAAATGTTTCTGCCAATATTTAATCCAGTGTTCTCGGCCCACAGCTACAGGTTCCTCCTATTAAAAAAATTTTGATTTTGGTAAATGTGTGCTGACTCCACCGCCTATGTATTTAACCTAATATTTAGTGTATTACAGGTAGACATTGACTTAGGTAGGTATTTTTCTCTTAGGTAGATATTAAGAATTTGGTAAATTTCTTAATTGTATGACTATTTCCATTATTGAGACGTTTTTAATATTTAATTTAAGAGGGTTTTTGAAATTTTTATAGGACTGGTTCACAGTGTGAACAAATTCCAGATTTTTATATTTTTAAACTGATAATTAATAAATGATTTAAAAGTACCAATTTTAAAGTTGCCATGCTAAAGCCTTTAGGTCCAAAAATATACCCATTATGCTCACTTAAAAACAACTCTAAATCAGTAGGCTGTCACTCTATTAATGCACCACACTGCTACCTCCACTGCACTGAAATTTATACAATAAATTCTACAATCCTAATTTTGTATCGTGATGGAGACCGGAGTCCATACAAAACATTTACTAGGTTGCCGTTTGGTGTGAGCAATAGCGAACAGCACGCACACTCCTTTGCCCCGTCAACCTATATCTAATCTATTTAAAGAGTGACAACCATACTACACATTGAATTAGGATTCCTTTAAACATCAAATTGATTTATTGTAAACTTGTTTACTCTGGGTATATTATTGCCCACGTTAAGGGGCCTGTTAATAATTTATTAAATTATTAGCTATTTTAGATTTAATAATAATCTGTAACAAATGGCATAGAATTGAAATTTTTGTTTAACTGAATATTCCAGTTGGGGAATATATTGTATTTTGAAGGTTTCATTTTTTACAGGTTCATTGTGATATTATGTGTATACTAGGAAGCCTGCGGTAACAGGAATAAAGCAGTATCTTTCTTTGAAAGAAAGTTTTAATCGCATCAACAAATTTCATCTTAACCAAAGATACAGCAGATTTAAATGTAGAACACTTTAATCACAACGTAATTACCACAACACCGATCAAAATGCTGTTTCAACAATCTTTGCACGTGCGCATTACAACACTGTTGCTATGCAACCATTTGGTTTTTACCTAACTTTCTATTTCTCATCCTATTTGCATGTGGGAGGTTGTACATACAAACAGACATACAGACACAGATAATCTTCTGAATTATGAAAATTTATCTAATTAGGGATGGGCACGGATAGCAATATTTTTGCGTCATCTATACTATTCTATAGCTATAAATTATGAATACATATTCTACTTTTCAAATAGTTGCTGTGACTTAATCACTGTTAGGACCTGTGTCATTTATAAATAACAACCACCTTGACCTGTCAGAGATGGATATTTCTTACCAGCTTCAACAAGTTTTCCTCCCGTGGCTTTCTATTCTGCCAATGGCTAAACTCGTATGATACAATTGATTTTACATCTCTATTTGTTTGTACAGTCCAGTATTTACCACTCGGCTGACCCAGCATTAAATTTTCAGATAATGGGTCTGACATATGTTTGTTGTACAAAAAATAAGACATCAAATCTTATTCTACAATTTATAGTGGAGTAAACATGTGTGTTCTTCCTAGAGCATAGATGGAAACTTTTAGATCCAGTCAATATAAATAAACTTTTCATTTTATCTGATCAGGCTTAAATTTAAGTGCATTAAACTACTTATACAAAGTTTTCCATGTTATGGATCATTCTAGTGGTAGTTGTTTAATTGACCCTTAATTATAATTAATCTCTGCATAATATACTTCATTAACATGCAGAGTGCCCCCCTTATTAAGAATTTAGAACCCTTTAGCTGGTAAACTGTCTCATTAACATGATACCTTTTAATTGTACAAACAGTTGGTCTATAGAGATATCATCACATGACTCGTTTGTGAGATCAGTTGCTTGATATGTTTATTCTGGAGATCCTTAAAGGGAAGAATCTCCATTTCATTGCTAAGTCTTATGTCATTTGTCGCTGTAACTAAATGATGCAGATTTTGTGTTTTAGTGCAGGCAGCTCTTTGACCAATTCAACCCATAAGTTTGTATTTTCTAGTTCGATACATTTGAAATAATTGTCTTTGCACTGGTTATCATGATATAAGGACGGTTTGTATGGTGTTTCTGAAGGTAGCTTATCTAACATAACCTGGTGATGAGGACACATGTTCATCATTACATTATTGAAAGCCAACATTTGCTTATATATACTTCTTCTGCATGCAGCATACTTTAATTCATATCTTAGTGCCTAAATCTTTAAACTGTTGCAATTTGCAAATAGCATAATAGCTAATTTTCAAGTTAGTTGCAGTATTACCTATCCTCCTTAAATATGATAAATTTTTCAGCAAAGGCTCAATTTTTGGTTTCTTGATTTTTATTGTTCGAGGTTGATCCAGTAGTGTAGTAGCTGAGCTCCTGTTCTTTTAATCCCCACTGCACCATTAAGGTTTTATCATCTCATCAAAACAGATGCTCATTAAAATCTTTCAATCTCATTAAAATCTGATCATTGCAAGCTAATTATGTGGCTTGGAATATCAAAAGCAAGGACAATCGCTTAACAGAATTCTGTTTTTATTACTGACTTAACTCCTGTCTTGTAAATTATCATTTTTTTAAGGTAGACGGTAGTCTATCATGTTCAACAAACTTGAAATTAATGACTACATACCATGCTAGCCAGATCCAGAGATGTGAACTCTACCTGTTAATGTATGTTCATGAGTTTAGTTTGGATAACATTGGCATGGGTAATCGGACAATCACAAGCAGTGAAAATCCCTGAAGAAGAGATTGTTCCGATAGACTGTTCATGTAGTTACCCTGATAAAGACTGTAGAGAAAACAAGACATGTGAATCTGAATATGGTGAGTAATTAACCTTACCAGATTTAATTTTACATTTTATAGAATCACAATATGGTTTGGACAGCATCGATTCTCGTTTTTTTATCTAGTCTGTTGTGTCCAATAATTTACCGAAACACAGATATTATGTTCTATATAATAAACCCCCACTACTTCAGGTTTCTGCTACTGGAAGGCAAAGATAGAGAACAACAAGATTTTGAGTAATGAAAAGGGGTGTATTGGTGCTCACATCATGCGTCATGTTTGCTTCCTGGACAGACACCAGGACGAGAACATGTTAGTGGAGTGTTGCAACACGACCCTTTGCAACAGAGACACGGACAGCTTCCTAATACGTGTAGATAAAGAGATCAATGTTGGGTACGGTGAACCACCTGGTAAGTGTTGGGTACGGTGAACCACCTGGTAAGTGTTGGGTACGGACTACGGTGAACCACCTGGTAAGTAATGTTGGGTACGGTGAACCACCTGGTAAGTAATGTTGGGTACGGTGAACCACCTGGTAACTTGGTAAGTAACGTTGGGTACGGTGAACCACCTGGTAAGTGTTGGGTACGGTGAACCACCTGAAAAGTTATGTTGGGTACGGTGAACCACCTGGTAAGTAATGTTGGGTACGGTGAACCACCTGGTAAGTGTTGGGTACGGTGAACCACCTGGTAAGTGTTGGGTACGGTGAACCACCTGGTAAGTGTTGGGTACGGTGAACCACCTGGTAAGTGTTGGGTACGGTGATCCACCTGGTAAGTGTTGGGTACGGTGAACCACCTGGTAAGTAATGTTGGGTACGGTGAACCACCTGGTAAGTAATGTTGGGTACGGTGAACCACCTGGTAAGTGTTGGGTACGGTGAACCACCTGGTAAGTGTTTGGTACGGTGAACCACCTGGTGAGTGTTGGGTACGGTGATCCACCTGGTAAGTGTTGGGTACGGTGAACCACCTGGTCAGTGTTGAGTACGGTGAACCACCTGGTAAGTGTTGGGTACGGTGAACCACCTGGTAAGTAATGTTGGGTACGGTGAACCACCTGGTAAGTAATGTTGGGTATGGTGAACCACCTGGTAAGTAATGTTGGGTACGGTGAACCACCTGGTAAGTGTTGGGTACGGTGATCCACCTGGTAAGTGTTGGGTACGGTGAACCACCTGGTAAGTGTTGGGTACGGTGAACCACCTGGTAAGTGTTGGGTACGGTGAACCACCTGGTAAGTGTTGGGTACGGTGAACCACCTGGTAAGTAGTACGGAATCCTGCACAGCTTAAATGTTTCATATAATTCAGCAGATTCACATCCAAATAAGTTTCAAATTGAAAGTATGCCATTGTTTGAAACATACCACTTTGGTTTTAAAAGGTTTCTAGTTTTGTCTAATAGCATCCAATTAATTTCAGCTCCTGCAAACAGCAATGTCTTGATGGTGATAATCGGGGCAGCTGGTACTCTCGTCCTGGTCATATTCAGCTTTGGGATCTACAAGTTCTTCAGGTCAAGAATGATGAAGAAAATCCTGGGTTACGAGAAAGACCCTTACGTAGCTGTAGCCAAAGAGCCGCAGTACACTAACCACATACTAGACGAGATCAGTCTGAGTAACACCAGTGGAGCCGGTCGCACTCAGTTCGTACAGGTACAGTCTGACATTCACACAGACTAGAACACAGACTAGAACACAGACTAGAACACAGACTAGAACACAGACCAGAACACAGACTAGAACACAGACCAAAACACAGACTAGAACACAGACCAGAACACAGACTAGAACACAGACCAGAACACAGACTAGAACACAGACCAGAACACAGACTAGAACACAGACTCACCTGATATCGACAAGAATTTGACATTCAGGGACATCCAGTGGCAGACTGACACGAGGCAGCTTCAATTAGCGGGCTTGTCTCGGGCTATCAGTGACAAACTGTGACATCTTAATATGCCGCACTCTGACCGTGTCTTATCAGGTGCATTAATTAAATACTTAATTAATTTAAAGTTCTGTAACCTTGAAAATCCAAGATTGCGTTATCTGCGATCGTTTGCATGTTGGGTATGCTAATTCCAATTCTGCCCAAGTGCATACTGTGCAGTGTTTACTACTTTACTACTGTATGACATGATCCATACTGCATTTTCAGAGGACGATATCAAAACAAGCCCAGCTTATTGAGTTAGTCGGAAAAGGCAGGTACGGTGAGGTTTGGAAGGCCCTGTGGCGAGGTGATCCTGTTGCTATCAAACAATTCGACCCCAGGGACGAACAGAGCTGGATTCAGGAGGTCAAAATGTACGAAACCTCTTGGCTTCGTCATGAGAACATCTTAGGTTAGTAGAAAACTCGATTATTTTGTCAGTTGCATGTATATTTAATTGTGACATATGTCTGCTAATCCTTAGAAAATAAACTCTTAGTTGTGGTACAATGCAACTCCGTTCAGTTCAGACAATTAATTTCTAGAAACTTGTCTGGCCTGTATTTTAGACGGCTCCCCTTGAGAAGAACCCTGTAAAGAGCAGCTAGCTAGCAACACAATACCACGTACCCCACAATACCACCCCTAATACCACGTACCTCACAATACCACCCCTAATACCACCCCTAATACCACGTACCCCACAATACCACCCCTAATACCACGTACCTCACAATACCACCCCTAATACCACCCCTAATACCACGTACCCCACAATACCACCCCTAATACCACGTACCTCACAATACCACCCCTAATACCACCCCTAATACCACGTACCTCACAATACCACCCCTAATACCACGTACCTCACAATACCACCCCTAATACCACGTACCCCACAATACCACCCCTAATACCACGTACCTCACAATACCACCCCTAATACCACGTACCCCACAATACCACCCCTAATACCACGTACCCCACAATACCACCCCTAATACCACCCCCAATACCACGTACCCCACAATACCACCCCTAATACCACGTACCTCACAATACCACCCCTAATACCACCCCTAATACCACGTACCCCACAATACCACCCCTAATACCACGTACCTCACAATACCACCCCTTATACCACGTACCCCACAATACCACCCCAAATACCACGTACCTCACAATACCACCCCTAATACCACCCCTAATACCACGTACCCCACAATACCACCCCTAATACCACGTACCTCACAATACCACCCCTAATACCACGTACCCCACAATACCACCCCTAATACCACGTACCTCACAATACCACCCCTAATACCACGTACCCCACAATACCACCCCTAATACCACGTACCCCACAATACCACCTCTAATACCACGTACCCCACAATACCACCCCTAATACCACGTACCCCACAATACCACCTCTAATACCACGTACCCCACAATACCACCCCTAATACCACTTACCTCACAGGGTACATGGGAAGCGACTGTAAATCCACCGCTTCCTCAACTCGTTGGTGGATCATGATGGAGTTCTGCCAGCACGGCTCCCTCTACGAGTACCTCAGTCACGCCAGATACACTCCCATCCAACTCCTCGAGGTAACCAGCTGATAACCCGTACACGGAGGTCACGTGATCTGGTAGTATCACGTGATCTGGTAGTATCACGTGATCTGGTAGTATCACGTGATCTGGTAATATCACGTGATCTGGTAGTATCACGTGATCTGGTAGTATCACGTGATCTGGTAATATCACGTGATCTGGTAGTATCACGTGATCTGGTAGTATCACGTGGTCTTGTAGTATCACGTGGTCTGGTAGTATCACGTGGCCTGCCACCTGTTAATTTGTGTGTGCTATGTGTCAGATTGCGCTCCATCACCATCCGCGTTTGATATTTTTAAACTGCCCCCCCCCCCTCACCAACTGTACACTTAAACTGTACATCTAGACACCATTTCCCGCCAAATACCGCTCTTCCCAGAACCATTAAATAGCCAGCCAGAGGATCTATCCAAACAACCAATATTCCACTTAACAGCAAGCTCACTGCTCCAGGGGTCTCTGTAGCTAATTTAGTAAATGAGGTGGCGTGCAGTCTGAACCACTGCCCACTCTCCACACTTTAAAACCCTGGACCTACTGGGATTGCTTGACAACGCCACAGTCGCCGCGTTTGCTGCCAGATCTCTCTCTTAGAAGCCGTACATTACATACCGTATGTACGCTATGTAACCCCCAGTCTTCACTTTCTGCCCTGTTCAGGGTGGAGTTGAGTGTCGGGACCGGGCTATTTTAAAATAATATAGTACTGGATAGTAATAGTACCTGGATGTACAGTGTACGCTGTTATTCAAGTCGTAAAGTGACTGAGTACAGGTTTAACTGTTTCCAAATACGGACATTTTAGATGGGGTTGAAAATAATCATTTAGTCTTATCTCCCTTTCAGTCAGTACGAGGTATATACTGTGGTTTGGAGCATTTACACAGCGCCATTTTTGGCAACAATCCAAACAACTCGAAGCCAGGGATCGCTCACCGGGACCTGAAAACGCACAACATTCTGGTGAAGAATCCCAGTGAGTATAATCATGTAATTAGATAATCACTGACGGAATGTTTCACTTATCACACTTATTGTTTTGTTGATCCCGCATTGTTTTCCTCGGCCCCTCCTATTACTGGAATAGTAAGATCATGCAAGCCTTTAAAGTTTTGTTCTGTTTCTGCTCGGAACTGTGTTGAAGGAGAGAATTTCCGACACGAGGGAAGAGAGGAGAATGAGGAGAGAGGGGTGACTGATAAGGTTAACTGAAATCCAAGACAGGTAGTAATTATCAGACCAGCTAGTGACCGGTTGAGGAATGTGCAAATGTGTGCCCTGTTGGATTTGTAACGCACAGAGAGGGCAGGAGAGAGGCAGGATTATTTACGGTGTTTTGTTTCAGCTCAGGGCTGTATCGGTGATCTCGGACTATAACCAGGTAACTAAGTAACCAAGTAACAGTGTTTTGTTTCAGCTCAGTGCTGTATCGGTGATCTCGGACTGGCCATTACTTCTAGCGACTTCAAGGAAAAAGTCAACAAAACTAATTTCCAGGTAATCCACCGATCTTATAGAATAAATAGCTGCTGGTATTTTATGTTGAGGAACTTTCATCGTGTCAATTGGATTATCGCTAATCGTTTCTTTGTAAATATGCGACAGATGGTCTACGACCACCGAGTCAGCCCATTATATTTTTAATAAAATCTACCTACCGAATCACGGAAGTGTCACACGATGATGGCATGCTGTGAAATAACACCTAACACATATTGACATCTCAGGTAGGTACTAGACGGTATATGGCCCCGGAAATACTGGACAGTTCCTTAAACTTCGAGAAATTCTTCACCTTCAAATCAGCCGACATGTTCTCTTCGTCGTATATCATATGGGAGATGTTGCACGTGTGCCAAGTGGACAGTAAGTGTGATATTTCTTGTCTTCTTCGTCATATTAATTCAGACGAACTTATTTTAGGTACAATTTTAAGATGTTCTAGAATTTTAAGATTTTCCAGAATTTTAAAATGTTCTAGAAATATTTCGTGCAGATAACACCCTCTGAGCGAGGTACAGGTCCTATTTTGTTAAGAAAGTTGAGATTTTATTATATTAAAGTGAAACAAGTTGAAGTTGGTGGATGAAATCTAGACACAGGGCAGATTTGTCCTTTAAAAAAGTACATAAAAACGAGGGGAGGGTGGCATTCTGAGTGATCTCAACCGCCATCACACTGCCTACTGCCTGGCCAGCACACTACTTAGCCATGACAGCGCTTCCCACTGCTGCTCCATTAATCCCGGCTAGTCTAAATACTACCGCTTATATAACAAGTGCACTTTTCATTCTCACTTTTCAGTTTTCACTCATTCACATGTTTCATCTTTAGAGAACAAAACTGGGGGTAAGGTTTGTTGTCCACACAATTACTACTACATGTCCAGCTGGTGGGTTTGAGTTGTGGGGTAAGGTTTGTTGTCCACACAATTACTACTACATGTCCAGCTGGTGGTATGAGTTGTGGGGTAAGGTTTGTTGTCCACACAATTACTACTACATGTCCAGCTGGTGGTATGAGTTGTGGGGTAAGGTTTGTTGTCCACACAATTACTACTACATGTCCAGCTGGTGGGTTTGAGTTGTGGGGTAAGGTTTGTTGTCCACACAATTACTACTACATGTCCAGCTGGTGGTATGAGTTGTGGGGTAAGGTTTGTTGTCCACACAATTACTACTACATGTCCAGCTGGTGGGTTTGAGTTGTGGGGTAAGGTTTGTTGTCCACACAATTACTACTACATGTCCAGCTGGTGGTATGAGTTGTGGGGTAAGGTTTGTTGTCCACACAATTACTACTACATGTCCAGCTGGTGGGTTTGAGTTGTGGGGTAAGGTTTGTTGTCCACACAATTACTACTACATGTCCAGCTGGTGGTATGAGTTGTGGGGTAAGGTTTGTTGTCCACACAATTACTACTACATGTCCAGCTGGTGGGTTTGAGTTGTGGGGTAAGGTTTGTTGTCCACACAATTACTAGTACATGTCCAGCTGGTGGGTTTGAGTTGTGGGGTAAGGTTTGTTGTCCACACAATTACTACTACATGTCCAGCTGGTGGTATGAGTTGTGGGGTAAGGTTTGTTGTCCACACATGACAATTACTACTACATGTCCAGCTGGTGGGTTTGAGTTGTGGGGTAAGGTTTGTTGTCCACACAATTACTACTACATGTCCAGCTGGTGGGTATAAGTTGTGGGGTAAGGTTTGAAGTCCACACAATTACTACTACATGTCCAGCTGGTGGGTATGAATTGTGGGGTAAGGTTTGTTGTCCACACAATTACTACTACATGTCCAGCTGCACTGGTGGGTTTGAGTTGTGGGGTAAGGTTTGTTGTCCACACAATTACTACTACATGTCCAGCTGGTGGGTATAAGTTGTGGGGTAAGGTTTGAAGTCCACACAATTACTACTACATGTCCAGCTGGTGGGTATGAGTTGTGGGGTAAGGTTTGTTGTCCACACAATTACTTCTACATGTCCAGCTGGTGGGTTTGAGTTGTGGGGTAAGGTTTGTTGTCCACACAATTACTACTACATGTCCAGCTGGTGGGTATAAGTTGTGGGGTAAGGTTTGAAGTCCACACAATTACTACTACATGTCCAGCTGGTGGGTATGAGTTGTGGGGTAAGGTTTGTTGTCCACACAATTACTACTACATGTCCAGCTGGTGGGTATAAGTTGTGGGGTAAGGTTTGTTGTCCACACAATTACTACTACATGTCCAGCTGGTGGGTATAAGTTGTGGGGTAAGGTTTGTTGTCCACACAATTACTACTACATGTCCAGCTGGTGGTATGAGTTGTGGGGTAAGGTTTGTTGTCCACACAATTACTACTACATGTCCAGCTGTGCGAGTTTAATCAGTTATGTACGTTCCAGAATATTCTGCGTGTTTCCCTTGAGTAGCTCACCAAACTAATATTGTACAGTATTTTAACATAGTTTTATAGGGTTATACAGTTATACTTATAACATCAAGGAGACAGTTTGTGGCTTGCTTTATTGTGTCCAATGTCTAGTTGTTCAGAGTGAGAGAGAGTTAGGGATCTGTATTATATAATTATGATATCTAGATGATGCTGTTGTATGGGGTTAACACATCCATATTCAAGTCTATAAATATAAGTCTATAAATATAAGTCTAATATAAGATCATGGTACAAATTATTGATGTTTATTAAGTCACACCAAGCTGATTAATGCAGGGAGCAGAGAGTTAAGTTAAAGTATATTATATATACTCGGAGTAACGCTGGAGAATATGTAAAATAAGGGTATCTTTAGTTAGGGATCTTTATTCATGGAGTTAACTGAACATTGGTTCCTGGCAGTAACATAGAAATGCACTATAATGTAAGGACTGGATCTTGTAGAGTTAGTTTGGTTAGAGAGTTTGCCCGAAAAGTCGGCACTATACATCAGTATAGTTACCCAAGTATTCTAACAGTTACAGATTCCTTGATTCTTACCCCCTCCTATTCGCTATTGCATTTGGGCCATGTTTTGGGAGGTAGTGACATGTCACTATAAAGTGCGGGAATCGTATTGGGACTTCTTTATTAAATGTTTCTTATCCAGTTTATTCTTAAAAGCAAATTCCCTCGCGGAGCAGTACACAAGCGGTGTGTGATGCAAGAGAGCAGACATATTCTCAACTCATGAATTAAAATCAGGTGCCCATTGTTTTTGAAAGGCTCACTGCACCCGGGGACATTTGCATTATAAGGCGGGAGTGCCAGGGATCTTGAAATAGCCTTATAATTGTAGATTACTAACATACCTCAGTGCCTCATATTCAGTTTGGCTAGATTGTGGTCCACGGAATATTGGATCATTCATGCGCATTCTTGTTATTGAAGTGAGTGTTGTAATATCTAAAGCACCAGCCATTATGGTAATGTCCAACTCTACGGAGAAGAAGATTAGGCCGTTCAGATCTAACTATACTTTGCCATCATTCTTATTTTTTGGACCACCAACAACTCAAAGTAGACCCCGCCAACAACTCAAAGTAGACCCGGGCTTTGTAAAAATAGACAGCAATGCTTTGCATTTTGCATATGCTAACTCTTTAAGCTGGAGAAATTCTTTGTAGGTATCTGGGAATTAAGTTGAATAAACAGTGAAGCCAAAACATTCAAACCAGCTTAATGTTCTCTAATAACTTCATGCCATTTATACTTTTCTATTGATCTCGTAGTTAGCATGGCAGTGCCTTTGACATAGCCATGTTACTGTACTAAATTAGCATGAAGCGGTCCAACTTCCAAGTGAGCAAGTATCAAGGTCTTGTTATTACCATATCTATTTGTTTTCTTGTAGACACCGTGACCGTATCATGACTAACTAAACTAAACCACCCAATTCTCGCGGTACTTTTCATTAAAATGTCTAGATGAACTCAAAGAGTCTGAACCCGGTCCAATGTACACACCCGACAATGTCTGTACTAAAACAAAGTCTCTTAAAGATCAGGAAAAAAACCGCTTGAACAGATATAGTGAGCAGTAACACCACCGACAGGGCGGCAATGACACTACCGACAGGGCGGCAATGACACTACCGACAGGGCGGCAATGACACTACCGTCAGGGCAGCAATGACACTACCGACAGGGCGGCAATGACACTACCGACAGGGCGGCAATGACACTACCGACAGGGCGGCAATGACACTTCTTCATATTGAATAGTCTGTCCGAATCAGGACTTCAATCATGCCCTTCATTAGTGCTAACCTCCCCTGGGAATAGCTGGCCGGGAAATATTAATTAAGAGTTACACAGGTGGTGGGAGGGAGCATTAAAACCTGGAGCTGTTGGTTGAGTAGCAGGTTATATAAGAAGCAGGTTGTATAGGTTGTATTACCTTCGTCTCAGGGTTACAACTTTATAACCTGTGTGGTACCTTCTTTTGGGAGATGAGAATATGAGTCCGTGTATTTCAGTAGCACTAGATACAGAGAGTATTATTTATCCAGGGTAGTAGATCTGATACCCACATTTAGCCTTCGCAAAATCACATAACACTGTCAGCTGATTAGGATAATTCGACCCATTTGCACAAATTTGGGAATTTTATCTTTGATACATTATTCCACATTCCATCCTAAAAGGGGCTCATATTTTATCACGTACGGTTTCATGAACTCGGTATTACGAATTTAAAACATCCCAAATATGTCAGTAAAATGTGCTCTTGTTCAGATGATGTAACGGAGCGAGAGCGGACTCTGCCTTATATAGACGAGGTGCCGGGTAACCCTACGGTAGAGGATATGTTGAAGGTGGTGGTGGAGGAAGAGAAGCGACCCCCTCTTCTAGATCGCTGGAGACAGAACCCGGTCAGTACAACTTTAATACAATGTAAATAATATCGTAAGTGTGAGTTGGGATTATCATGAATCACGAGAGTATTTATTGAAGGAGTTCCGAAACGGAGTGCCGAAAGGAGTGCCGAAACGTCGGTTATTTTATCTTATTTTCACAGTCATTTGCTGTTTCATCTTGTCCAGGTTAATATGTTGAGAGCCGTTATGCTCCCTACTAAATATTTCAACACTTCCATATATTTGATAAATTTAACCAGGATGTGTGGTCATCGTTCGGAAAAGACTGGTCGAAAGTTTGCCCGAAAGTAATGAAATTGGGTTTAAATCTCCATAAACATGTTTATGATGTTAATTGTTAATGGTTCGACCATGAGCCATGTTACAAATGGTAAAAATAGAAAAGAAGCAATTGGTAAAGGAGATTTACAACCAGTCCAGTTGGGTTTAAATCTGCATAAACATGTTTATGATGTCAATGGTTAAGTTCGACCATGAGCCATGTTACAAATAGTAAAAATAGAAAAGAAGAAATTGGTAAAGGATATTTACAACCAGTCCAGTTTTCAAGTTGCGACCATACTTTATACCAATTTATCTAGGTGTGTACTGAGATTATAAAGGTTTTGAGGTTACATCCTTCTTAGTGTTTAGATTTTAAACAGATTGTTAAGAATTATCCTCCAAACCTTGTTTGCAGATTGATTCCATGGATGGAAAAATTCCTAATCCTAAACTTTCTTAACGGATCTAATAATTGATACAAATGAAAATAATACCCCATCCGCGAGAAACTGGCCCCACAATTCTGAGCTTTTACTGCACTTCTGTTCTAATTTCCAGCTTTTAGCGCCCGAGGTCGAGAACTGCTGTGCTGAAATGAACAAAACCATCAAACCACATGGCGGGACAAAATCTTTAAATACATTTGGGGTTACATATTTTAAAACTTTCTTAATTTTATGCTTATTAATTTACTGCTCACTTAATTCTGAATTAAATAACGTTGAGGGAGTACGGTCGGTAGCTTGTTAGCGCAAACCTTCTCGAACACACCTAGACGGGCAGTCTTCCTGAGACAAATGTCTCATTATGTTAAAATTCCCAAAAAGCGTCGTTAAATCCCATCTTCACCTGGATTCTTAACATTCTTTAGCAGCTTCATTACACATTCATCACACCTATCACACCTTTACACTCTTTCTTGTGTGTCGAGTAGAAGTGTTAAGTATCAAGACACTTGCTTCCAGTGAGATTGATAAAAGTGTGGTAGGATGTGACGTCACGTTACCTCGCCCACGTGTGGTAGGATGTGACGTCACGTTACCTAACCCACGTGTGGTAGGATGTGACGTCACGTTACCTAACCCACATTTGCGTTAGTCAGCTTGTTCGCCTGGTGGGCGGTGTGAGATATTCTCAGTCTTAGTGACTGTAAGTGTGTGTTTGGGAAATCATTCGCTGGAACGATCTGGTATTCTGTCCCAGTATTGCAAAAAAACGATCGTATGTGATCCTGCAAAGAGTAAAATTCCTTTTTTAATGGAAATTCAGAATTGTTAAAAAAATTCACGGCTGTGTGATTTTAACATTCACGCACGGATAATATTTCCGGTTACAGTGATCTCCTCTCACAGTATACACACGTGCACACAGCCACTACAAGGTTAGTTGAAAAGCGTGACTTGTATGATTTACTAGCTCACTCGAATCTGCCTTAGCTTCGCTCCTGGACTAATTTCAACTCTCCTACAAAAGATTAGACCTGGTGATCTTGTAATTACTTAACCCCACAAGCCGTACACAGAACTGCCTCCAACAAAAGGCACATTGTCCTGATAACATTGCCCGCAGCTAACCCAATACAATGCGTTATTATCTCCGCCTAATGAATCTGTCCTGAACTGACATGTGAAGTTGAATTTAGGACCTCGATAGCTCAAACCTTACAATGGGATATGTCGAGCGGTAATCCCTGGGATAGAGACGGACATGTGGTTAATGGCCACCAGCCACTGCAGCTACCGTATAAATAGTTAAATACTCCGACCATTATAATTTAGTAGTTTACTGGGTAGGGAACGTCTGTGATTTGCACAGTATTCAGTAATAATACAGATCTAATATAGGAGAGATAGACCTGTGCTCGCTTATCATATATGTATACATTATACACACGTGCATCATGGTCATTTTGCACAAAACACACTCAAATTCTATTTAGAGAGCTAGCATGGACACTATTAGCGCTCGTAAGCATGCTATGTCACCACGACATATGCTTGACAATGTTCCTGAACAAAACTGCAAGTCTCACATTATGTACTCGTGCGAGAGGTAACACATACTCGCATACTAGACACGTGACCTATAGGTCAGGGCCACGTGGGTTTTTTTGATCTCTTCTTGGTTAACAATTGATCACGGGGAACGCTTCCGAGCTTTTGATCGCGCCGTGACAAGCCGCCCCGTCGCGCTCGTACTCAACATTTATTTCCTCTGCACAACAAAATGTTTTAAATGATTACGTCATGTATCTTGCTTAAAAATCTTGCTTTTAAAACGTGTACGTGAAATTTTGATGACCAAATGTAAATGTGTTGAATGTAGATTTGAGCCCCTCCCTTAGGTTAAAAGGCGTGGCAAATAATCCGACGCAGAAATACATCCTTGATAAAAATCATTAGTTATCGTTATTGCGGTATGACTGTCTTATTACGTTATCGTTAATTTAATTCCCTCTGAGTGGTGATAATTGTGGCATCTTACCGCGAATAATGTTGAGTGTGACCTGTTTTTAAGTATGCAACAACTGGAGGCCTTCACAAAGTGTACATAAATTAACGATGTAGATTAAAGAATACATATAAATTTAATTTCTCATACAAGAGAACGCTCGATGAAAATCTCTCTGTCATGCTGTGAGAAGCGGGCCGGAACGAATTACTCAAGCTTGTCGGGGTATAGGATATATCTAAAAATATGTTTGTTGTGACAGAATAATATTTCCATACCTAAACCACAAGTTGCTGACCTCAAATATTTGCAGATAACCCGAGTTCTGTGTAACATGATAAAGGAGCTGTGGTGTACAGACCCCGCAGAACGGTTGTCAGCTCTCAGGATCAAGAAGACTCTGAGCGAGATGTTGTTACACAAACAAGACTCATTCCCCCCAGTGTAGGGCCAGCAGATCACGTGACATCACAAGACTATATTTCATGAGAGAGAGAGAGTGAGCGGGCCTGTTAAATCAACTAAAAGATCTACTGAGAATAATAAATTGCTGCCAGGAATATCTCTAAGAAGTAGATTCAGCTCAGATTCTGTCCACCAGGGAACTATCAAACCATCTAAATACCCTCAAAGAAGAGGCACGCTCTCGGGAAGAAACAAATAGATAGTGGAGCGGAGAAACACTCTGAGATGGTGCAGTCAGGGAAGATTACATGCTCACCAGCGCGAGTGTGGTGGTTGTTTTTACTGGAACCCTGGTTTGATTCATTGCCCGCCTGTTTTGGTGGCTATAAAACCTTTTGAATAGTTGTTATCGTTATCGGTTTTTAGCATTTTTAATGTCCTGTATATTTAAGAGCTCATTCATCGCTTTTAAAGAGGAAGGTGTTTGTTTTACCTGTATTTAGCTTGGGTATTATTGATATCATATGGTACGTGGCCATGGTAATATGATCGTTACAATTGGGTGTAGGTTGTAAAGACATTACACATAGTCTGTTGTTGAAAAGCAGTTTTACAATGGTTAGCTTTTAAATATGGATTGGGAAATCATTGATTGATTAAATCCGGTTCTAGATTCCAATTAGTATAGGGGGATGTGATCTAAAGAAAAATGTTTTATAATATTTATGTCAATAATTAAAATTGAAGCTAAAATGAGGTTAATATGAAAAGTCTAGCTATAAATACATGCAGATTATAAAGGAGTCAAGATGAATGCTTCTCAGTCTTGGTTGAATCGAGTTTATTTGTCCCTACAATATATGCGATTTGTGTTTAAACTTTTGTTTTAGTGATGTTTTATATAAACGTTTTATATTTAATTGCTTTTTACTACTACAACTGTTATCGGGCCCCTTGCGAGATTTGATTGGGGACAAAGTATTATGTAAATAGTTGCCGCGTGATCCAATCTTACTGGGGATAAAGTGATTTTATTGATAATCGGGCCGGGAAAACCGATGTGTATGATTTTCTGAATGGAATTCGTGTGGCAGCAACGTATAGGAGGGCGGTTTATGCCGTAAAATGTTCTAAAAGAAACATGAAACTCAAGTTATCAACAAAATGCTACATCGAAAACGGAGTTGTACAGGCATAAGTTTTTATACTTGGCTCACAAATACACTCATAAGTTATAAATTATTTATTTCTATCAAACTACTTGTGTACGATTATTAATCACAAATAATGGTGTTTCAATTAGTCTTTTAGAATCTAGAATAGGGTTTATTATGGAAATGACTTTGCATCTGGAAATCCAGGCACGCTCCTGGTGACCGTCATGCTGGCGCGGAGACGAATTTTGTTGACCGCTAGCACTGTGGGGAGTACTTTATCTGTCGACGCGCGTGTGTACGTACGTGATAGGCGACGTTCGGACGTTATGTCCCCGGTAATATCTGCGCGCCGGCATGGCCATCAAATCAGATTTGGAGGACTTCGCCGCTTCGACGCGCCGCGCAATCTAGCATTCTTGCTTCGCATCGACGATCGTTGCTCTGCTTCGCAGAGCAACGATCTCGACGGATTGACATCGTCAATTAGTGTATGTACTAAGAGCGCCAACTTGTGGGTGAGATTTTATGTCTCAAAACCCAACATATTATACACCATTGGAAAGGTCTCATTGAGTAGAGTCATATGGTACCAAGTTTTGGGGAAATGGCTGCTCCTAGTGGAAGTTATAACCCGTCGAAGTCCCAAAAATGATCAATTTAGAAAATGGGGTGGGACATCGTGTTCTTAAATTTTTTTACGAAATTTTTTTACAGAATATTGTTTATCACATTTTTTTACACAAGATTAGCTGTATGCCGTAATTTTATTTTCCGATATTTGAATCAAAAATAATTTTTATTTGGATTTCAAAGTACGCGCTACGCCGCGCAGTTAGAAATCGCAATAAGGAGATTTAACCATATTTTTTGTTGCGCCATTTTTATTCTCATATCAAATATGCGCTGATACTTTTCGGTCGAATTTCTTTTTGTTGCCGCTCATAGCAATTAGCATAGAGCCTCAATGCACACACCGTATATTTAGTTTGATAGTAGTTGTTTTGTTGCACATTGTAATGCAGATGTTACTAAATGATCTTGAGAGGGTATTTAATATAACTGAGTTAGTGTTACTGCGTTTTGGCTGCGATGTGCTGGAGACTACTAGAAACTTGTTCTAGTATAGAATAGCTTAGTGGATCAGGATGTTGCTAAATTAAATCCCTTGTTACACTCGTTTAGTTCTGGACAGGATTTGAACGTTTTACACTTTTATCAGATCATTTCAATCATGGTTCATACCGAAATTACAATTAACCCATTCAAGCCTTGTATAAACAATAACGGACAGTATTCTGTGTTAGAAAAAATATATGTACTTCCAATCAAATCGTGCAATTGCCTTGGTACACAGGTGCACATTCTTTGATGCCCGAAACGCATTCCAAGCTCTAGATATCTGCCTTCAATAATGGCCTATAATCACATTTGCCAAAAACAGTTGCTTTGTAATGCTGGTGTGTCCCACTTAGTTTGATTATCTTAGTTAAGCTGTAATATCGAACTCGAAGACCTGTTTCGTTATTATTTCTTGAAATGCAGGTATTTGAAGGTTTTGAAGCAATTTTTTTCAATTAATCTATTTTCCTGGTGTAGAAACAGACCTAACTTGATACTATATTGTTTATTCTAATTAAAGTATATTTGAATTTAAAATATGAACTTCAAATATCATTATTTCTAGCTGAACCAGAATTTCCTTTGGAACAAGATGCTTTCCTGACAAACATTATTGTATGCTGATATAATAATTAACAACCGATCCTATGGGCTGAAATATGTAAGTACTTTGTTCAAGCTTGATGTGACCTTTTTTATCTTAGTATACTTATGACTGCTTTAGCTCAGCCTTTATAATAAAAGATAACCTCTTACCAAGCGATTGTGGAGAGAAATGACAGTCCTATTTACCATTACCATTTTACAACTATTTAACAGTACCACCAACTGACTGTAATTTTCAAGCAAGAATTATTACTGATGAAAACCCATTAAATACCTAAAACTGCGTTGTACAAACACACTTGTTTATTGATAGTTAACATTAAGGATGGTTGATGCCTGTTAAGTTCATTACAGTGGAGTTCCCACCTACGAGTGGTGGCTGAGAGGTGGCGTGCCTTGCCGCGGACGCGATAATTCAAACGTAATGAAAGCTAATGTCAGCTGCGCCGCAAGGCTGACATTATCATACTCTGCATACACCGCGCCACCTCTCAGGCGCGCCACCTCTCAGTTTACCACTCGTAGGTGGGAACTCCACTGTTATGCTCATCTACTTACCAGTTTATTTACAGCCAATTCTTATCATTGTGACTTTAGCAAGTGGATATTTTCAATGCAACATTTAAACATCGTTTTTAGGCAAGATTGGGCAATTTGGTTTTGATCACTGGATTGATCACCAAAAGTTACTTAATTGAATAATAATTTGAAACTAAATCATTCGAAATCACTGATTAAGTGCCATTGATTGAGTGAAGAAATCACAGATTAAGTGCCAGGATCATGTATCCGTGCCAGATCTTAAAATGGTCATAACTCGGCTTAGTTGTAAACAACGAACTTGAAGTTATAGGAAAGCACTTCAATTATCAAACCAAGTCCAAATGTGTCTGGAAATTTTGGATTTCCTAACTCAAAACGTTCTCAATTTATGGTGACAATAGAGAAAAAGAGGGAGTGTACAACCCTATACAATCTCACTAGTGACAATATACCTTTAGAATTTTAAAAATAAGTGCTCTATATTCGTTTCCTCCTTCGAATAGTTGATTTGGTCATTTACTTTTGAAACACTGAGACAGTCTGAGTTCTTTAGCTTTGATCAGTATCTGATGAACGGTGCTAGAGTTTCAAAATTATACTTTGACAGCTCTGGGTTTTTCAGCAGACATATTCCCAATTTGAGCAGCTTCGAAGCGTGGCTTTTCTGCAATTTGTTCAGACACATCACAAATTTGATCGCCAAGTTTCTCTCCTGTATCCTCCTTGAGACTAAAAATGAAGACATTTCTGCAATCTGCTGCGATATTCTTCAGCTACAACATTCCAAACTACAAGTTTTCTGCCGTGAAAGTGGAGACAGAGCTGGGGGAAGGGTTTCCTCTGCATTTTTTGCTAATTTCTGAGCACTGATGATTTCACACTTCATTTCCTCTATCTTTTTATTCGTGGAGAATACGCTGATATTAGACAATACCCTAAAACGCATCAAAGAGGACTTCTCGAATGTGATATCACTATCTTCATCAAAGTTTATTGTCTTTATTACCTCAACCCAAATACCAAGTTCATTAGAAGCATCAGAAAGCTGGTCAAAATGTTTACTTGACTACATTAGAGAGTCTAAGTACACATCTTCCATAACGTACTCACAATTGTATAGCACCGGACACAAAGTAGCAGATAAGTCGTCGAATTATAGCAATAAGAGATGCACATGTAAGAAATGTAGTAAATCAAAGTTTTCACTTTTTAGTCCCCGTCGGATCACATGATTTCTCTCCGCATAGAATTGGTTCCCAATTAGTGGTTTTACAGTACCGTCGAGCTAGAATAAAGACTCCATATGAGTGTGTTACGTATTGTTAAGCTAGGAATTAGGATCTTAGCATTAAGCAATAATGAATAAGGTGTCAGAGAGCTAAGAGATGACAGGGAGTGATAGACAAGGTTCGACCGGGATCCCGGTTTAATCCCGAATTTTTTGAAAAACTGAAGTTTAAAGCAAAATTATTTACCAATTAATAAACAAAAAACTGTCAGAGTCAAGTGCCAATTTGTTGGGTAAGCTGTGCTTGTGCTTTTTATCAGTTGCGGATACCAGATTTTAGTGTAAGTGTTAAGTGCTGGTTTTCTTAGCTATGATCCCGGTCCCAAATCTGGCTGAATCCCGGTCCCGGCGTATACCTGGTTCCGGCACTCCTTTCCAGTCCCGGCCAAAAAAGCAGTCCCGGTCGATCCTTGGTGACAGAAGGGGCGGTAAATAATGTTTTGTTTCTGATGTTGGTCAAAGAGCGTACTGTATAGCATTGAACCTACACAGTTTTAGTACCCCTCACTTGAGTACTTGTGAACCATAGTCCATGACCACTAATTGGGAACCAATTCTGTGCGGAGAGAAACCATGTGATCCGACGGCCAAGGGGACCAAAAAGTGAAAACTCTGATTTACCGCACTATTTATCTTTCCCCAAACTGTACTGTAAGTCGGGGTTTTACTGTATATATTATCACGAAGATCAGCCCAGGCTATATAGTAATTGCCATCCTGATATTAAAAGTAAATACAATTTTATTTAGAAAATAAGTGCTTACTTTCTATCACCATCTTATCAGTAATACTAGGCAAAATAGTGATACGTATATATATATAGTGCAGAGTGCTACATAGAGATCAATTGTTTCATCTTAAGTTTGTTACGCAGCTTACGCTCATACCTGGTAGTGGTAGTGGTACCAGTAGTAGTGATAGATTGCCCGACCCTAATCGCGGGTTTTAATCTCGTGCTTCATGCTTGTTATAGGTGGTTATCAGCTGTTATGTTCTAAAAATTATAGCGCTCATTGTAAGACGTAGGTTCAATGTTGGTATGGTTTTAATTAAATTAGTTACCCAGAATTTTATTAAGATATTGTAACGTAATAGCTTTTTGAGTTCCGTTATTTTGTTTAAGTGTAATTGTTATTCAAAACATATAATTTCAGGTGTTAAAAGCTTGGAGCAAGACACATTACGATCGATGGCGTTCGCTGACTGATGCATTGCTATTTACTGCTGACTAGCTTATCCTTTTGTTGCCTCTAATCAGTGATGAACATTGAACACCAATAAGAATCAATCGATTTAATTCACAGGATATTACGATTGTTTACAAGGGCCCTAGCACCTGTAGTTTAAGTTATTCGATTCGATTTTTATTAAATAACGCCATTTTTCTTTTTCTGATCTATTATTAGAGCTGTCAATGTCTTCATCTTATATTTATTGCTGCGATGTTTTACTTTGTTTTATATATCAGTTGAGACTAATTAATGAATTTGACAAATTTACAAGTTTTACATTTTTGATAATATTTGATATTTCGCCATATTTATAAATGTGTTATCAGTAGTCAATAACTACACA